CTCCCAAGCGATGACAGCCGTCAATGTCATAAATAACTGATTTGTGATCTATCTGCGATCTTATTTCGAAAGAATATCTCGAACACTAGTCAGATGGCGGATGTTGACTAACCTAACTTTCCGCCGGCCTCGCATGACATTTCCGACATCAGAAGTTGGGATGTAACCGACCAAGTGGACACACAGATGTCATGGATATGGAGAATCTTATTGCAGTAACAAAATCAAAACTTTCTCGCCCTCATCTACGTCATGACTGGGCCGTCGTCGAGTGACATGTGCATCTGCCGGAATTCGATCCTGACAAAATACAAGAAGAATCACTTGAAGCCTTCGTAAGAAGAACCAAGCGTTCCTAATATTATCTAATCGGAGTACATTAATAATAACGCGATGCAAACGGATTGCGATACGAAACGCGGAGAGTTCTGCGCTTGCGTTCGCTCAATATGGCCGCACAACGTAAAGTGCCATCTTCGAACAAGCATAGACCACTCCCAAGCGATGACAGCCGTCAATGTCATAACTTGACGTTTCGCAAAGCACCATAGATCTTGACAGATGACAGCTGCGGGTGACAGATGGCATTTCGCACAATCGAAGCGCCTTCTCGCCGACATATATATATATATATATATTATATATATATATATATATATATATATATATATATATATGGAGTGACCGTCGGGACTTTTATAAAATTTAATATCTTTATTTTAAGTTGAAGTTGGTGTGGTTGCCATATAATTAAAGTCATGAAAGTGATTTCATATTTATAATCACACTAGGCATACGAACATTTAGATTATTTTAGTTGACTTTTGAACAGTTGGTAAATAATAAACTAAAATTAAATACTTACACACATATAATTACACTACGCAGTACAGATTTCAAACGTAAAGGCGGGTGTCCGTGATTGACGCGAGGACATGATAACTAGTTTCTGTCTGTAATTAAGCACTCACTGTACTGGAGCAATTATCTGTTCAATTGTCATTTGGCAGAGATGATATATTGTTTAGGTGGGTTATAATTTACGTAAATAAATAAAAAAATGAAAATTGGCCATAAAATTAGATAAACTGATAAAAAATTTAAAATGGCTTCAATTTGTTTAGATCACGATCCTCTTGAACGTGAAACTAATGAATTACGAAAATAACACTACTTTAGAACCGGTAACAGCAATATAACTGCAGCGCATACCCAATGTAACAGGTACTTTGCTACATAGTGGTGCTCTGTTTTCTTTGTTGAGATAGGCTAATATATTTATTATCAACACAAATTGCTCATGTCATAAAAAAAAATCATTTTAATGTGTTAAGAACTCATTTTAATCTGATATCCAGAAAGCAAATGTAAAATAACGTGACTTCTGCAGGTGCCGCAATCTTACCAGTTACTATAAGGCCTCGCGACAAACTGCGTTAAACACTAATAGAGTGGGTTTATATAAATTCATAAGATTTCAGTCAATATGGATTTTTCTCTCTCACTGTCTCTATTGAATGCTTAAGACATTAAGTCCGCCTTTGTACGATTGTGCATAAAGATTTAAATAAATAAATATTATTTGTGTACGAATATTTTTTGCTTTGTTTATCATTATTATTGATTTAATACTGCACGTTATAAAGTGATCGCTCAGAGGGTGTACAATAGTAGGCACAAAACACGTTCGGATGAAGCTCGTCTAATTACTGACAACGTAAATGGATCAAAAGTATTTGGCAGATTTCATATTGACATTATTGTTAAACTAAACACCCAACATTCTTATCGTCGAAAATGTAAGTAGCATCACAGACATACATAAAATATTTTAAAATACCTAATTATAAAAAAAAAATCTTTTTTGAAAAAAGCTTTTATTTAAACGCTCTAAAAAGATGAAAATAGAATTTTCATTTTAAATATAACCTCTTTCATTATACATAATTTAAATGATCATAAAAGCTTGTCACGAGGTTTAATTGTGTAAAGTAGTACCAATTCGATTATGCAAATATGCGACATTTATTTTTTATTTTATTTTTTAATATTGATAGGTACCTACTTAAACCTCGCGACTAAGCGTCAACAGGCTTGCCCACAAGCAATTCAGTAGGCATGTCAATTCACTTGAAAAAATATCGATCTTTGAATCGATTCGAAACGTCCATACTAGAATCGATTCTTGATTAAATCGAGCATTAAAAGATCGATTTTCAATTAATCGCGAATTTGTCAATCAAACATGCCTTATATAGAGACAGAGCATTATTGATGATAATTTACCATTAATACAAGTAAGGTAGGAATTGTAGAAGACCAATCAGGCAGTCTGTCTGTATTCTAAATAAGTCAGAAGAAGACAAGAATATCATACCAAACGTTAAAATTCCTTAGAATATTTCCCGCTCTTGTAACTTTATGTATGTCCGCAACTTTATAGTACGTTTAATTTTTTTGTTGATTTAGTTGTACGTTATTTTTTAGTTGTACGTTTGATTTGGGGCGATGTATGGGTTATTCCACGGGCTGGAGTAACACCGATAGTAGTGACAACTTTACTATACTGACATTCGAATGCGTTAATAAATATTAATTTAATGTGTTAAAATTATCAATGCGTCCGACAACAGCAAAATATTAAAAAACTAAAAATATCGTAGCCAATTTAAGATTTTTATATTGCTAGTTCTTGAATGAGGAAGTATTAAAAAAAAACGAAAGCAATAAAAAAGCACCTTTACTAGATGGCGACTGTAGCAAAAGTTGATTTTCGCAGGAAACGAATGGATAGTCATTTTAACTAACATATTAAAAAACTGAAATTTGAAAAGTTCGAAACTTAGGCATCAATGCAAATACGAAAAAGTGCAAAGAGAATATGAGTTGTTTATTGAGTTTTGAAAACTAAATTACTTACAAACTTGAAAAAAATACCGGAACGGTTGTGATGGGCGACATCTATTTTGATTTCGGGAACTGAGGTTATTATTTTTAAATACTCCTCATTGAATTGAATCGGTCCGATTCGAGGGGTTCATGCATCGATTCAAGAATCGGTAAATAATCGATTTTTCGATTAGGGGAAGATTGGCACCATTCGTACACGGGGAACCTACATACGGTCACTACTACAACTTGTAGAAAAGCCCATTTATTACAACTTGGTGTCTGTGGGTAGGCACCGGCGGCTGTCAGAGTGGTAAGTGTAAGTTTTACGCTAACGCGTTCACTAGTGAGCGCGTTAAGAATTTGTATGGAGATTTGCAGTTCCTGGTAGTTACCGCTAGAGGCGCTGTACCGGATTCCATACTAAAATCTTAACGCGCTCACGATCGACAGTTAACGTAAACGTCAAAAAAACTTACACTAAGCGCTCTGGTGTCCACGTAGTTAGCCACACATGCAGCCACTGCGAGCGAAATCGATTTCAGATCGACATGCCTACAATTCAGCGAATGTTTACGTAATAATAGCATCACATACCATTATAATTAAAACTACGTGCATTTTGCCATTGTACTGTCTGCCTGAAGTCTAATATTGTTATATATCTGCCGTCGTTGACGTGTGACATTGCATTAATAATATTGGAATTGAGATAGATAGTACAATGGTAAAATGCAAGTCGTTGAGATTCTATTGAATGGCGATTATTATGTAAACATTCGCTAACCGGAGGCCTAACCCCTCCCTATTCCCTTCCCTCTACCCTTCAACTCTTCCCTTGAGGCCGGCAGCGCGCTTGTAGCCCCTCTGGTGTTGCAGGTGTCCATGGGCGACGGTAATCACTTACCATCAGGTGATCCGTCTGCTCGTCTGCACCCTATCCCATAAAAAAAACCTAAAATGGTAATCATCAAAAAAATTTGCAACTCCAATGTGTTAAAATCACTTATACGTATTTTCTGTCAATGGTTCGCAATTTTAAAATGTCAATATCGGCGATCTCCACTGAACTCCATTTTGATACTTGATCTTGTATCGATAAACTGTTATTTCGTATTGCGTAAGCGTTACTGAACTTAAATTAGTGATTTCATTTAAATAAAAAAAATATATATAGCAACTGACAAGGATTTTCTGATTTCTTTAAACGAATTACGGAATACCAAAACCGCGTGATGGCCATTTGCCCGACAGAGCAACAAAGAATAATTTCTTTCGTTGCCAGTTACAGAATAAGGTCTGAACGTACGGCGTTTAAAATCAGCATATCGTCTCTCAACTATAATTTCTGATGGAGCAGAGTCCTATTCGGACATTTATCAAGCTATTTCTTTATCTGAACTGAATTTTCCACTTAAAAAACAATGCTTTATCAATGCAAGTAATTATACTTTTACACTGGATTGAAAATTGCACAAGTAGCGTCATCAGTATATCGTAGTAACTTGCAAATTGAAGGTCCGATTAAGGTAAACTTTTATGTAACGTATTAAAAATGTTATTAGGGGCATTCTCTGGTCCGAGACTACTTGAGTGACGTGCTATGTCGTGCAAAAAGTAGTAGTGGTAGCATTAGCAGTTCCCTTAAAAAGAATTATAGTCTTTTGATGTCTCTACAGGTCTTAAACAGTACCCACATGTGTAGTCCGTTGTCTTATTGTTGCTTGTTTGCCAGTTACTGTTATAGATAATCGTCCTCTATTGGTCAGGTCGCTGGCGGGTAGCAGCGTGGCACCGCACCTGTCATTGATGCGGTACGTGGGGTTTTGTAGCCTCAGTCCGGAGACACCAGCAGGGGAGGGGATGCGTCGTTTGCACCGGCTTTACTGCTCGTTCGCGACGGTTGCTATAGTGAGCTACTGGTTTCAACAAGTCGCATATGGTTATCAAGTGCGTATACAAAAATTTTGGGTTCTAGTGTTAGGATAATTCAAAAGTCTCTACTTTGACTCATAAATGCTACATAACCATAGTCTTTCTTCGATTATGGTGTATTAAATTTGTAATTCATATAAATAGGTATATAACTAACAGTAATGATTTGTTAAATAATGAAGAATCGACACGATATGTCGAAGTTGGCGTCGGTACTGTTCGTGGTCCTGTGCCACTTGACATGCATCGTCAAGAAGTTGGTGTTCCATTTGGACGCGCACCGCATCGACGAGATCATCGCCAGTCTGGACGGTAGGTATAGTAATTTAGCTCTTTTTCTTACACATAATGAAGCGTGGGGTAGTACTCGTAGATGGGGGTTAGAAGCACCCTTAGGCTTCAGGTAAAAATAGTTATAACAATATTTATTTTTTTATTCTCAGGTGTAGGTAGACAGATTCGCTTGTTATGATCTTTTTGACTTCTGTTGGGAAGACTTATGTTTAAAGTTGTAAAAGAGATTTAATGTCGAGATTATGGGGTCGCAGTGTCACGGGCAGGGCAGAGGCTGATAAGGGTGTAGATCCGACGTAAGCTCCGGTCAACAGCACCGGTGAACCACGGAGAAGAACCATGTGAAATAAAGACAGTCTCTGAACAGAAGTTCAATAAGTCCAGCCACCTGTGGTCTGGAAATAAATAAGATAGCTGCAGTTGCTATAGCTTCCATAAAATCCACTCCAATTTTTAGCAGACAAAATAAAATACCAAATCTGTAAGGTAGAAAGATATTAAAATGTTAAATGTGCGTATTCTCAGGACTTCGTTTTGTTACAATAATTATTTATATTGAATTTTATGACTGTTAATATTACTTAAAGTACAGCAAAAATTCTATAATATTTCCTTAAATATCTATTTCATCTTTATTGAAATAGAATAAAAATATTTTCGCACATTAGGCTAAGAACTAGATTTTCACCTCAGAATTAATGTTCAATGAAATCAATATTATAAAACAATGAAATAGTTTGAGAATTCAAAGTTTTTTATTGGACTTGTGATTTAAAATTACTTGCAGGTAATAAATAACTTGAAAGCAGGCAGTAAAAACTAAAGAACTTAGAACACTCAACCGATTTCGGAGTTATGAACACACTCAAAAATATATGAAAAACACTTAAAAATGAAGTATTGCAGCGCAAGAGGTCGTCTTTATGCTAATTCGCCATCAGGCGTCGCGCTGCGTTCGTATGTCTGCCTACCTCCATACAATAATTGTAACCAGTGTACCTCCAATTATTTTATATGATTATTTTTTTTTAAATATTTTAATAGAAGTTTATATGTATCAAAACGTAAAAAGCAATGAAACGTATCAGATAAACATGCGAAAGACAGACAAAAAGTTTATTACAATTCACATAATAGTTGGTTGCGCAGAGGCAGTGTACAATTCTAGAGGCGCGCGACACCGCACGATGCTGCGGGACACCGCGCTCAGCGCCATACAACTGCTGCGCCCGTACGTGGGGTGCGCTGTGGCCACGTGTGTGCTGTGGATCATGTTCCCATTAGTGTACCGACTGCAAGGACATCAAATAGAATTTCACTTTTGGGTTCCTGTCAACTACAATCACCCGCTTATGTAAGATCCACACAAAAACCTACTACTCTTATATTTTATACCAATATTTTTTTACACTTTTTCCCATCCAGTGACAGGACCTTGTTTACCTAATCAGTGACTAATAATGAGAAATAAAATCTAGAGTATAATTTTAATAAATATAGGAAGATCAGACATACTTTAAAATATTTATTTATAATATATATGATTTGATCTAAAAGTAATTAAAATAACATTTAATTAATGGATTTAAGATTATTTTACAATACTTCTTATTATCCTACTATTAATACTAAAATATGTTTTTTATAGATTCCCAGTGGTGCTGCTATATTCTTTTTACGTCACAAATTTGGTGGCCATAGGGAATCCAACGATGGACGCTTTCATTGGTACAATTCTAAACCAGTGCAAAACTCAACTCAATATCCTGCGGTTGGTATTTGCAGCAAATAATAGTTTGTTATAAACAATTATTAGAATTTTAATAGTTATTATGCATATATTACTAATTTAGAATGAATTTCGAAGACCTGCCCGAGCGAGCTAAAGCGCTGGCCGTCAACTCGACGACTTATGAGATGGCGCTTAGGAAATTATTTTTAGACTGTATACGGCACTTCGAAAAGATTTCTGAGTAAGTGAAATTAGCTAATTTTTAAATTTACAAGTTCGCATGTTCCTTACAATAATGTTCAGGCTAGTTTTGTTTTATTTACTAAATGTACGAAACAGATGTCAACCAGGTGAATTAAAAGTATGTTTTACAGTTGTATAAGGTTGCGACCCTTCAAATTACATACTGTATGTTTGGTTTAGTTTGCCCTACTAAACTAAGACATGCATTGAAATACTGAAAATTTTGTTATTTCTAAACATTCTAAACAACGTTGCTGTTATTCAATGAAAAACAAAAAACTAATGCGTTAAGAAGCTTTCTCTTAAAAGTTAATGGATTACAGTTGCAAGTATCAATACCCGATACATTACCAATGAGCTCATTATACTTATCGGCGGCACACACACAGATGTGAGATTATTGTAAAATTGTTATTAAGGCAAGTACATATTAAGAGTGAACACTTTTGGTCTTCTTACGAGTTAATTAGTGCACTAATTGTTTGTGTGCAAAATGTGTGCTTCGAAGTATTTAATTGCATTAAGCGATATACCATTCGCCTGACACCATTTTAGTATAGAATTTAAGTCAGTTTGAAGTTTTACCGCGACGTCTAAACAACATATGATAGTATACACTTTTAAATCGTTAGTTTATAAAATACATGGGCTATAATATTAAACTTCATAGTGAATATTATATTTTGATTATGACTTCTTTGTATAAAACTTGTTTTAAGTTGAGTGTAAGAGACGTTAACCGAGGAGTTAGTATCGTACTCGGTGCATGGCCTCCGGGCCGATCTCGTGCATCGCCCACCATGAGAGGGACATCGCTGAGTTTTAGTGGGTTTGTCTAGCCCCTTCGGGGTGGGGCCACAGAAGGAGTCCCACATCACCCGTGGAGCCCGCGCAGGGTGAAGCGGGTATGCGTAACGCATTTCTCAGCGTCAAAAAAAAAGTATCGTACTGCCCTTGTCGATTTAGTTTACATAGGTTAAAACTGTTTATCATCATTATTTAGGTAGTAGTAGGTACATATTTAGTTGTTTGTGATATTTATGTGTATTTCAGGACAATGGATCAGTTGCTGAGTGTGTTTGGTTTCGCTGTGTTGGTTCAATTCGCGGTAGGCGGCTGGACCGTGTGCATGGCTGCCTACAAGCTAGTCAGCGTTAGTCTCTATTATTCATCAATATATTTGACTGCATTGTAATATTGAGTATAAGATTCTCTTTTTTTTCAGGTAAACGTGATGAGCTTTGATTTCGCTTCTACAACTTTATTTCTAATTTGTATCCTGATAGAGTTGTTCCTGTATTGTTACTATGGGAATGAAGTAACAGTAGAGGTAAGTTAAATTATGCGGTGCTATATCTTCATACCTTATTTCAATAAATTATGAAACAATCATTCATCCTGAAGCTTTTGTCATCGTTGCATATGTAATACCCATAGTATGAATTAGTATTTCACCGGTGTGTTTTAATCGTCGTTTTGATTTTGTATGTCTGTTTGTATTTCGCGGCACAGAGTGACCGCGTGGTGCAGTCTATCTACAGCATGGATTGGTTGCACGCGCCGCTCTCGTTCAAGCGTTCCGTGGTGCTGACTATGGAGCGCGCCAAGCGGCCGCTGCGTCCCACCGCGGGGCACCTCATACCTTTATCTCTAGATACTTTTGTGACGGTCAGTACCAATACATAGCGATTAAGCTTACAAATTGGCGCCCTTGTTATTAATAACCGACGTCAATATCAGTATGATACTCTTATAATTTGTGTATGCAGCCGTTACTGTACTATATTCTAATTATACTATTATTATAATTTACTGAACCAATTTTATCCTAAAAATTAACATTTTCTTTACAGATAATGAAATCATCGTATAGTTTTTATGCTGTTTTGAGACAAACCAAATAATAAATACAATATTAGTCAACCCGATCGACCAAGAAGTGAATAAGTACATACTATCGTGTGTTTGGAATATGGTTGAACATTGATAATGTGTTTAATGTACAATTAAATATTATACACCGAATATGTTTATATAATGCCGACTTATTATTTCATACTGCTCCTTAGAGCAGTGGCTTACTCGTTTGGCAAGGACGTAATTTTTGCGAGCAATGGGTATAGGATGAATGAATAAAAATTAATTATCTAAAGCACCGCTGTCTTTCGGAAGGCATATTAAGGCTGCATCATCTGCTCGTGGGCCATTCTTCCTATTCGATTCCATCCAAAGGAAGAGCCCTTTTTAATAAATAAATAATAAATAAATAAACAAAAACAATAACCCGACTGAGTAAAAATTAAAAATTACATGAAATAAAAACTAAAAAGAAATGACAAATCCAGTGCTTAGAATGTTGTTATAAGTAATACTGAAAAATTACACAATTGAAATAGTTTTATATTCAATACACACATTTTATAAATAAATCATTTTTTTTTATTTACAAAATATAAGTATTAACATTGGGTAGCTCGGTGGCGTAGTGGATAAGCGCTGCGGCCCACGATTGTTACGCAACTATCGGTCACGGGATGGGTGACCATATTAATTATTATCTCGAGCTAGTCCATGTTTCGAAATGCACGCTAAGCTATCGGTCCCAGCTACTCTTGCAGTCGTTAACAGCCTCCAATCCGCATTGGGCCAACGTGGAAGGTCATAGCCCATCCTAAGGAAGATCTGAGTGGGGATCCAAAAGGACTGATGATGATGATGATGAAGTCTTAACAACCTCCTTAATCATGTATAATAGAAATAGGTCTCCATTAACAATTTTACAGGACTTCTTGAAAAGTTTTTATTGGTTGAATGGTACTACTCTTTTCTCTCAACTTCGCCTGGCGTCAGAGAACTTCTACTTTTAACTAGCTGTCCCGGCAGATCTAGTTCTCGCCATGTCATATGCCAAATGCAATCTCTAATCAATTTCGAGGCTTACCAAAGGTAATCCTAACGCGGCTATGTTTTGCTTTGATTGTCGTTTCTGTAAACATAAATTAGACATAAATGTATATCAAATGTTGACTCTTAAAAAATCATAATGAAGTAACTAAAGACACTTAAAAATGAGGAAACTGAACAGATTCTAAAGAGTATAAAAAATTGTGATTAAGATTTTAGGTGACTTAATATACTACACTGGACCGCAAAGAAAACGGGTCGGTTAGAAAATCTTCAATAACTTGAAAACTACCCCACCTAGCTTTATGAAATAAAAACTCAATTAAAGAATATTTAATGTTATTTAACATAGTATATAAAACCTTTTTATTTACTTTAGATAATTGTGTAAGAAAACTGGCAATGAAGATAATGGTTGTTTTTCAATTTAGTTCTAAAAAAATCAAAGCATTTGTTTCGCATTTGTTTTAGTTTTGACATAAAAACTACAATAAATATCGTGTGTTTGTCATACAAAAATTGTATTCTGAAGTCATCATGTCGTTAACCCCTGAAGAATGCAACAGGATCCTGACAATGCTTGAAGATGGGCGCAGTCAGCGCAATACAGCGAGAACTGTTGATGTGAGTCTTTCCACAGTTCAGCGGGTACTCCAGCGTTTCCATGAAACTGGATCCAACCTAAGAAGACCAGGAACAGGCCGAACGAGGTGCACGACTGCGCGGGAGGATCGCTATATGGTGTCAACAATTTTGAGAAATCGATTTCTTACGGCCGTTGAGGTAAAAAATTACCATTTACGAGCTGGAGGAAACTATCTGAGTACAGATACAGTAAGGCGACGACTGGCTGAAGCAAATTTGAGACCATTAAGGCCTGCAAATGGCCCAAAATTAGAAAGACACCACTTAAACTCAAGGCTGAGTTATAGCAGAGAACACGAAACTTGGACTCTGGATGACTGGTCAAGAGTTATGTTTTCAGACGAGTCTAGATTCTGTTTATACGAGCACGATGGGAGGAAAAGAGTGTACCGAAGACCGGGAGAGCGCTATAACCAAGCTTGTATAGAAGAAAAAAGTACCATATGGCGGTGGCTCTATACACGTGTGGGCTGGGATTTCTTCCGAAAGCCGTACTGAGCTAGTAGTGATAGAAAATGGCAGTTTAACAGCAGAACGATATGTGAATGAAATTCTTAATGACTATGTTGGTCCATTTTTAGTAGACATGGGCGAAAATGCTGTTTTTATGCAAGACAACGCCCGCCCGCATACAGCTCAGATAGTGTTCGACTATTTTCACGAAGTAGGTATCACATGCATAGAGTGGCCAGCACGAAGCCCCAACTTAAACCCCATCGAACATGCATGGGACTAACTGGGACGACGTGTACGTCAACGGAATCCGCCGCCAATCACGCTGCGTGAATTGAAAGGAGCTTTGATCGAGGAATGGCAGAACATTCCGCAGCATCGCCTTAAAAACCTTGTGGAAGGTATGCCGAATCGCATAGCCGCAGTTTTGCAAGCTCGTGGAGGCAACACGAAATACTAACATGCGTAAAAACGTCACATCTTTATACAATTCATATTTACGAAAATGTCAGAAAAACTACCTTTTTCATTCGTTTGACATTTATTGAAAATAGACAACTTTTAATTTATATTTTTTTATATTCAATAAATTACAATTAAATAATCTTTAATTTAGTTTTTATTTTATAAAAATAAGTTAAGTAGTTTTCAAGATATTGTCGATTTTCTAACCGACCCGTTTTCTTTGCGGTCCAGTGTAGATGACAATTTATCTAGACACAAATTCATTCATAAACGAACACACATGAAGCTACTAGGTATTGTTTAACAATTATCCCAAGATTGTTTGATTTAAGCTAAGAGCGAGGCATCCCAACACAAGTTTGATAATGACTCTAAACGATCGTCTTAATATATAAAAACTTGATGAACTAAGACCTATTTAATACTTTTGAAATTGCAGAGATCGTTAAAGTAAATAAAAAATAATTTCTTCCGACCCATCATTACCGACTAACACAAACGAATTTAAAGTATTGCAATAAGATATTTTATTGTTCAAAGGTGACATGAACAAAGTACGTACTTTGATTTTTTCGACAAAATTTTTCAAAAACAAGTAAACCTATTAAATAGGTTGATGGTGATTTGATAGTTGGTTATGTTCCTCCGAAATATAAAGTTAGTTATTGACGGATGCCACAAGCACAAGGCAATTACAGCAGGAGTCTGTATGTTTACTAGTTTAACGATAAGCCGATAATAATTGTGGCCAGTTCTGGATTCCAGAGAACGTACGTATTACTTACCGATAGAGTAATTACCAACTGCGGACCGAAGGCACTTATTACGTGGACGTAACGTATAATTATAACGGCGCCGCCCCGCGTTGTGGCGGGACTTCATTATCAACCTCTTGTATCTAACCCTTTACTGGGTACATTTAAAAAATAAACCGACATTAGCATTACTTTTAAGAGATTTCACAGAAGATTTTTTCCCTAGTTTTAAATATCATCATCATCATCATTTCAGCAGAGCGATGCCCACTGCTGATCATACGACCAAAGATCTCCAATGTGATCGGTCCTGCGCCTCCCGCATCCAAATAAGATATATATAATTTTTTTTAAACCAAAAACCAATGTCTTTAAACATCTAAGATATTTATGATAATATACTTTTATTTTCGTAGGACATAAATAATGACTGATGTTGATCTTCTCTAATTTGTTGAAACCTTACAATTGTTTATATGCAGACAGTATGTTTTCTTATAAACATTCTGTCTCACTTAATATTCAGATGAGCTAATTAACTGTAATGATTGGAGGGTTGACACGGCGGCTTTGCCTGAATATAATTACACTGTAATACACAAATAATTAAGAGAGCCTCTAATACTCATTCCAAATATAAGTAGCGGCTGTAGTCAGATCACTAACAAACTTGAGGTACGAAGAAAACTTGGGCTTCAGTTTCAACATCGACTATGCCCTTTAAATCTATGGAAATGTGAGTATATTTCTTCTGATCACTATTACCCAGTACGATCATGGTTTGCTTTACACTAGCGGTGGGTCGTCTTAGCCTTTTTAATTAACGAAACGAGAATGTTATCGTTCACCGTAAACTAGCTTATTGTTCCTTTTTTTGACTAGTTTATGTCGTAAACGGACTAAACGGAACAAAAAATTGTGTCAAAGTATTACCAGAATAAACAGTACAGTCTCTAAACTGTACTGTTAAGTTTGTGAATGATGTAAATTATATTATTTAAATCGTTGGTGCTGCAACGTACGTTCACGTATAAACCAGTTTATCAGTAAATCATAAACTAGTTTATCAGTTTTTTTATACGTCTTTTTTTAGATAAGATAAAAACTCTCGTTAATGGTATACGAGCAGCTTAAATCTTTGATTTTAGTTTGTATTACTTTATGATTTAGATCTGTGGGCTTAGATTACGTTTCTATTAATTTCATTAATGTTGTTTATTATATGACGAATGTATTTTATGTATGCTGTGATGGTAGTTTCTTTATTTATTACTGTTTGGAGATCATACGGGTTTGAATTATAATTGTGATTATAGGTGTAACTAAAGGTTTGTAAATATTGAATATGGGTATTATTGAATTTGGGGCAATTTTCAATTAAACGATTGAGTGTTTGAATAGTGGTGTTATTACATCGGCATATGTCGGCAGTTTTTATTGTAAAGC